ATTGCTTCTTTTTTTTGTAAGGTTCTCTACTCGTGATAAGTCATTAAAAGCTCATCAAGTCATTAATTAAAATAAATTTCATTTCAGTTTAAAAGACAAAACAAAAAAAAAAAAAAAATTAAAATGAATAAATTTTTAGAGTCCTTGGTCCTTTTTTTTGTTTTGGTTAAATTTCCCGTTTTCTTTTTTTTTATTTTTGTTATTACATGTCCATTAATTTCATTTTGGGACTTCTTCTTACTCTCTTTCCTCTTTATGACACTAAATATATTATCAATTCAAATAAACGAAATAAAGAGAAAAAAAAAGAGTTATTTTTTAGGAAAAATAAAACACAAAAAAACAAAAACAGAAAAAAATCGGAAAAATAATTAAAATAAAATGGTCTTTAAATAGAAATTGACAACGTTCTCAACGTACAAATTCTATATGAATTAAACAAGGAAGGGGAGCAATGATACAAGAGGACAAAATTAAAATTTAAGAATATCCACTTAAATATTTTAAAGACACTTTTAATCAATTTTTGATTTTACGGTTATCAAAAATTATTTTTAAAATTATTTTTGAGAATTTCCGCAAGTAAAGTTTTCTTAGACTTCTGAAATCAAAAGATTTCTTTAAATTTTAAAAATTAATATAAAAGTTTCCTAAAACATTGAAAAATGTAAAAAGAAATTTTATTATTTATTGTTCACTAACCAAAATGCTGAAGACAATAAGAAACAAATAATGTACTTTAAAACAAAAGAAACATTAAAAATCATGGGATTCTTGAAAATGTTAATAGTATGACTATATCAATCCACTTAAACCTTGAAATTTGGCGTATATGAATTTGAATAAAAAGAATTTCACGGATACTTATTTATTGAAGCTATGATTGTGACGTTTTATTATCGAGTGAAATAGGAATTTACGAAAAGAATTTTGCTAATACATATTATCCAACTTGAACTGTATAATACTGAATATACTAGGATTTTCACTAATTGGTTATAATTTAGAATTATTGGCATTCAACAAAAAAAATTTGCTAAAGAAATATAAATCTCTCTCTTCTTTGGAGTTGCCCTTGGATTTTATGAATTTGGTATTCTAGATGGATTTGGTATTCTAGAAAATTGTTTAGGAATCTAGAATCCGGGATCAATATCACTGAAAACAGATTTCATCGAATTTTAATTTTGTGGTCCAATAACCTTTCTTTATAGATTTAGAATTGTGAGAAGTGCACGTATTTCTAAAACTTTGACAAAATTTAACCGAATTCTAAAAAATTAGAAATTATATTAAAACAAAGAATTGCAAAAGTCAACTTAAGCAGTTTTTTGCTTGCAACGACAAAATTACGAGTATTTACGTAGGTCTTGTACACTTTGTATAAGAAGAACGACAAATCAATTTCTTTTTAAAACTTTCAGAATTATCTTAGAAAATTTCTTTAAATTCTTCATTTTGTTATTGTAATCTTAAAATTTTAATTACGTTAAGAAGTAACCCCGAATATGAAAATTTTTATGCGAGGGAAAAATTTAATTAAAATCTTACACTATAAAGAAACTTTTAAAAAAATTATTATATTTTTTTTTTTTACTTTTCCTTTTTTTATTGCAAGCATATACAAATATATATAGGTAGTACATGTTACCAATGATGTAAAATCTTGCTATAATAACAAAAGAAAGTAAAAAGAGAAAAAATACATAAAGCTTGTCTTTATAAATTTACAAAAACATGCACACAACTAGAGAATCCTTAATTAATTTTTCATTTTAACCTCGTACACCTCATATTGTTTTCCTTCCTTCCTTCCTTTGTTTCCTTTCTCCTTTATTCTTTATTATTTTTCTTTATCTATACTCGAACAAATTAAACCTGTGTTAATTATATATTAATCTTTTTGATCAAAAAAAAAATCCTTGCAAAATAGTATTAAAATATTATCAAAGGAAAAGCTGCTTAAAAATATTTTTTCCCGCATCCTTTTTTTGTTTTTGTCATTTTTCATTTTTAATTTTAAGATTTTTTTTCATCTTTGTTTTAATTTTGATTTAATTCAATTAGTACAAGGTTCATAGTAAATAAATAACAGAAAAAAGAAAATTTATAATTTTAGTAAATGAATCTTTGTATAAAATATTATTTGTGGTTTTACAGCGGGAAAAATCTTTACGAAATAATGAATTGAAAATATTAAAAATTCTTACAGGTATACAGAGTGTAAGAACATACGTATATATGTATAAATATATGTAAGTTAAAGAACATGTATATATGTATTTTGTAATACGAGAAAATTTTTTTAGATATCGAAATTTTCAATTCATATAGCGGTAAAATCAAGGTTAAAATATTCCTTATTTATTCAATATACTTGGCAGAACGAGATTGGGAAGATTAAACGTATACATATTTATATGTACAAGTACATAATAGACTTAGTATTAAGAATTTTTGGAAAATTATAATCTCTCATCGCTATAACAATTGTAAATATTTTATACCCTTATTTTTTGACACATTTCTAGATTAAATACTTTAACTCGCCCGATTAATCATATATGTATGTAATTCCAAACGATGTCAAGTAGACCTATCTTATAAGTGAAGTGTCTTTCATCTATAAAAATCAAATTTATATGTAAATGCAGTCCAACGCATACACATGTAGATATAGGTTCAATGTACATCTGACTGTTTACACTTGGAAATGTGCTATTTTCCAAACTTATTTTTTGATTTGAATTTATTAATTTTATGATTCTTTGACAAATCATCTTTAAAACATTAATTATTACCAAAAGATATCTAAAATTATTAAAAAAAAAAATTCTTCAAAATTTTGAAAACATATGCAAAAATACAAACAAAGTTTCTTTTGTACATGGTTTTTAAGAGCTCATATTTATCTTATAAATAATTTTGTACTTATTTTATGATTTCTATATAGTTACTTTACGTATGTAAGTAATACTTATGAATTTTAATTTAAAGACACTCAAAAAATTAATCTAAACAATCCAAACAAGAAACTAAAACAATATAATTTCTGTTCTAATTTTTTCTGTATAGGTTCATAAGTCAGAATATAATTTAATAATAATATTGCATTACTTTCATATAAAATAACTTAATAAACTACATATAATCAAAATTATATAATATTAAAATAATAATATTTAATAGACGCGTTGTATGCAAAATAAAATTACGAAAAAACAATAAAAAACACAAAAAAAAAACAACAGAAAAGACTGAAGAATTTTAATGTAATTTAAAACTGCAAGAATTTTCATATATAAAAAAACTCTTTAAGGAAATATTAATAAAATGCTTCAAGATGTATGTAGGTACATATACAAATATACATAATATGAACATAGATATTTGAATTTAGTTTAAAAAAAATTAATAAATCTTGAAATGTACAGTAAAATCAATTTTAATAATATTTTAAAATTTGCATACAAAATGAGAGTAAAGACAATATAATTGATTTTCATCGGATTTACACTCCCGTGCAAAAGGTTTTAAAAAATTTTAAAAAAATTTAAAAAAAAGACTCCGTATATGTACACCCTAAATCGGTAACTACATTATTACTCTTAGAATATTCTATTTTATCTAATCCTTAAAAAAATTTCCAAATCCAAGCAAAACACCGTGAGAAGCATAATATTCCTTTTAGATCTGAAAATTTTACAATAAAATCAAGAAATTGAATGCCGTATTGAAGACTCATCGAAAAACTTCAATTCCACATCTTAAAAATTTTGAAATAATTTTCAAAGAATTCCAAAATATTATTTCTTCACTGGTCATTAAAAATATGTAGATTATAAATCAATAGGAAGAGACTGTATTTTCCGAAATATTGCAGTGAAAATTCCTAGTAATATAAATTTGATATACATAGGTTTTTTTTATTAATTTCAAAATATTTTAAATTTTTTTTCTTATTTTGAATAAAGGAGGAAAGCCTTCGATATTTCAGTTATTCTGTATTTCTATAATAATTCTTTAAATAAATCGTATTAGTTGTTGTTTAAACAATGCAAAAATATTTTTATACCAAAAATTTAAAATATCCTATTATTTCTAGGCTTTACTGTAAACATAATACATATGACAAGCATTATGCAATTAAATCTCAAACATTACATGAATTTTCATTGAAATAATAATGCAATTTAATACAATTTAAAAATATTTTTCTTATACGTATAATTTAATTTATTTTTTTTGATATTTCTATTTTATTAAAGTATTTTTGTCTTGGCTCGTACACACTTAAGAAATGAAAGTTTAGTCAGCATTTTCATATAAAAAATACCTAAAACAACATTTTTTACTACGCGCATATAGAAATGTGAGTAGATAATTAAACTTTTAAACTATACAATGTTACTTAATAACTTTCATTTAAACTAACCATAAAATTTGTTTAAAATTTCGCTTAAAATAAATATCATTTTGATTTACATGTTATTTAAATTTAAAAGAAGATTAAAATGGGAAAAAAATAAAGCAAATTTTTAATAAAAAAAAATTTTCTTTCACTTTGTATCACCTTTTATCTATAATATAGTTTTAAAATTAAAAAAACACTTTGCACCTTAAGAAAATCATTTGACTTGATAATATGACAATTTAATTAATAAAATTTCGCTCCAAATATGTCAAAATTTATGTCTCAAAGTAAAAATGTGTAAATTACTGTATAAATTACATATTTCATTTTCATTGTTCAAAAATAATTGCATTATTTAAATTTGCATATGAAACTATAATAAAACATGTTGTTATTGAATAAAAATTTTTAAATTTTTGTAGTACCGGAATGTTATCATTTATGAACGTACGACCATAGTGGATTCTTCTACAAAATTTACTTTGAAAATGAAATTTGTTTTTGCATTAATACAAGCGGTGCGTACGATTTACATGCTACAACACATAGGTACTGTATTAAATACTTTACTAATATTATAATATAGTTACTCAAATTGTTTTTACTTACAAAAATTTAATGTTATATGAAATTTGAACACATAAATAAATTCCAAACTCACCTGAAAATAAAAATAAAATAGAAAAATTTTAGTAAATTTTGTTATTAATAAAATTAACTTCAATGAAATTTTAAATCTTAAATTAAACTATAAAATTCAAGCAATTTGTATAAAGTACATATTTTAGAATAAATCATCAAATGGTTCTTCAAAATAAAAATTTGCATCTATATGATAAAATTTAAAAAAATTTGTAATTATTTCGAGCGTGTATTATTGAACCCCGAGCTACGATTTACTTATACAAATAGTTGGATTTTATATTTTATCAAAATTATTACAATACTTAAATATTAATTGGTATACCAATCAAATGTCTAAAATAATACCAAACAGTCAAAGAATTCTGAAAATACAATAATTCAATGGCATCCGTTATAAATAATAGTCGCATATTCGTTTTCTAAAGACATTGCCGACTCAATCCTCAATTGTCCTTTAATCAAACCTTATTTAAACAAAAAATTCGAAAATAAATCCGTGATTCAATCAACAGAAAAATAAGAAATCAAAATATCGTTACGTGACTACTGTCATAATACTATAATAACTGCATTATTCAAGATGTTAATTGCTCGTATGAACTTTCAGTATCTCAACGTCGGGGGCACTGAAAAATCTATTAAGATTAAATCAAGAGTAATTCTTTAATAATTCTGAAAAAAATCTTTACATCGAACATTTTATTATTTGCCTAGTTTAAATTTTAAACAAAATTTAATCATCCGCCCTAATTTCTCCAACAATAACAAAGAAAACCACCTTGATACTAAAATTCCTCTTAAAAAGAGTTTTCATATGTTCAAATTTTAATTCAAATTTGACTACAAAAAAAAAAACTAATAATTTTATAATTTTATTTCTATTGTTACTTGTGTGTGAAACATAATTTGCTAATTTATGCATAACGTCATTATTATTTTTACTTCTAATTATTTCAATTTTAATTCTTTCGTAACACATAATAAATTTTCTATTTAAATAACTTAATTTTTTTTACGTTCTTCTATCTTAAACTTAATTTATGTATTGTCATTCAAATATTAATTTGAATTGTTCAACATTTTAGAATTTTCAAAATTTTAATTAAGGTCTTAAAAGAATTTTTTTTTTGGAATAGAAGAAACACCTATAGAGAAAACGAGAATAGATACTGTTGACCATGTCAACTCTGAGATATCCGAAAACTACCACAAGAAGTCGAGAAATTTCATTACCATATCTTCTTTAATTTCTGAGATATACCCGAATACATTTTTAAATTGTATAGAAGCTAACCGAACAAGTACCATAATATACAACTTAAATAGGGTTCCGGAATTTACTACTGTAAACCATCTGTGAACATTTGCTCAATTAGGTTTTAAGAAATCGCTTGAACGGACGCATAGACGAACAGACACGATCAAATCGACTCAGAATTTGACACTGATTTATTTTTTTGTGTTACAAACGGTAAGGGAAATTTAGTATACCCTTCAAACATACGTTCGTACGGGTATAAAAATGATTTAAGTAAGTAGATATTTCAGTTATTTTACACACTTTAAAATATTTTTTATTATCTTTTGTTTTAATTAATTTATGCTAAATTTTAACTTAAAATTTCAATTTTAATACAATTTTAAAAAGAAATTTCTAAAAAGAAAAGAACAGAAACCTTATGTTTTTAATTAGTTTCAAAAAAAAAACCAACGAGCTAATTTTTTGTGTATAAAAATTCAAAAAAAAAAAAATAAGAGAAAAAGGTAATGAACAAAATTTCATTATAAATAATGACATAATGATGATAGTTTTTTGGGTGGAACGACAACAGACAGAGAACAAAAAATTTAATTCTAATTTAATGTCATTAACCTTTTAAAAACAATATAATTTTTATGATGGCATCTGTTACCGTTTACGGGATCAAAATTTCTTGTATATAAATTTGATCTAAACTTACGTACACCATTTTTAGATGGAAGAAAAACAGAACTTTCACGCCATTGCTTTTTTTAAATTCACAAAAAATTCTTAAGCATTGTTTTTAACATTTGCATTTGATAGAAAGCCTTATTTAATTTTAAGCTAGTTTTACAACCTTACCAGTATTCAATTCTTAATTACAAGCATAGTTCGATACTTCAGTAAAAGAGATAAAATATGTTCAAAGTTTAAGTGGTCGTAAATCGTTTTACTCAGTCAGGAAATTGTCAGCAGATTGTCATTACTTCAAATACAAATTTATTTTTGTTTTCTTTGCATAATTATGGGACATATTTCTCAATTTTCGACATATTGCGTATGACATTGAATGTTCACAATTCCCACAGATCTACTCTACTTCGTTTCATGCACATATATTTATTTCGAAGAACAAGAATTTTATTCTATTTTATGCGTTGCATATAATCAAATTAGAATAAAAACATTCAAAATGAAAAAAAAAAAAACAATTCACTTGAAAAAATCAAATAAAATTTCACCCAAAAAATTTCAAATAAATTTTGCTTCTGTTTACGGGGATGTTCAGTGTAAAGCATTCTTTATTTTTATGGTATCTATTGTAACAGGGTTTCAGAATTATGAACAAAATAAAAAGTAGCTATGAAAGAAATTGGGTTTTTCTTGGATTTTTTTTTTCAAACATTCAAACTTTTTAAAATCTCGAATGATTTTTCTATTCCCCCAGTAGAAATTCTTAATTTTTGCTCTCTTTTCCTATTCGTTCTCTTTCTTTAACATTTAATTTTCATCAATTTTACGGTTCTTTTTGTTTCTTAACTTTTATTATTGCAGTATCAGAGAAAATATATACGGAAGCCAAAATAATAGAGAAGAGAATAACAATAATATAAAAGTAATGACAGCAGCAGCAAAAACAACAATAACAAAAACAATATAAAAGATAATAACAACATCTACTATTTCAAAGTAAAAACATAAAAATGTTCATAATTTTCATCCCCAGATAGCAGCACCAGCAGTTATAAATTAAAGGTAAAGAAGAGAATGGAAAATAAAATAAAAACAAAAATAAAATGAAAGATAGGTTATCATGTTATTCAAGAAGGTTAACGTTTCCCTAAGTTAACAATTTTAACGAAATAAAAAATGGTAGGTTATACTGAAAAAATTAGATATCGCATGGCAAGCAGTGTTAAAATAAACAAGAAAAAAAGAAATCCTGTAATACTTCAGGTGGCAGAATGATAAAATGTTATGGTGAAAATAAAAAAATTTTTTTTTTACTTTCATCGGGAAAAAAATATCCAAAAACCTTAATATTACAGTATTGGAAACAGGATATTCGTGTCTATAGTTAAAAACAACATTGAAACGACAAAAACATTAATACAAATATTTAATGTAAACAGATACTTTTTAAAAGGACTCTTTTCCTTAAGGAAATTAATTGTGGATTTAGCTGTTTCCTTTGAAGTTATATTTTGGAAACAATCACTGAATTTATATTGAAGAAGTGAACTTTTGTGTTTCAATAATATGACATATTGCAAAGGAAATAGCATATACAAATAGAGATCTGTACAAGGACAAGCAATGTTCACTAGATTTTACATTACATATATATAAATATGCACTTGAGGTATTTATCGTTAAAACGTTTAGAATTTGAAATGTTCAAATTGCTCAAGGATTTTGTTGAATTTGAATTCTCTTTGATTTTTATTATCATTCTCTTACTTATTCATTAACATTATTATGTGTCATATGCTAATATGTTATTATATACAGACCATGTTCTTTGCTTAATTTACATAAAAATAAAAAATTTTAAAAATGATTGAGTAATTATGTACACAGGTACCTCATATTTTGACAATTTAATTTTAAAACAATTTTCGGTACTTTGGTATAATGTTAATTGGATTTTGAAAGTCAAAAATATTTGTATGATTCATTAAAATTATGGCAAATTAAAAACTGAAAATTGTAATACGACAGAATAATTGCAATGGCCTTCTTATGAATGTACAAGAACTTAAAGACTTTTTATTATCGTAGAGAGGTATCCGATATAGTAGAGAGAGTCCCAGTAACTTAAGGTCGGTCGAGCTTTTCAATGTTCAATGTCAGAGTACGAACTATGGGATGCATTAGCCAATGATGGGCATATTGAGTAAATTACCTTGCATTCGTGTTTTATTCGTAAGATCATAATTAAGAGAATGCCTAAGATCAGACTACAGGGGAGTATTGATTTTGTTTAATTTATTAATTTATTATTAAATTAGTTTATGTGACGCTTTCTAATAGCTCGCCGTGCAACATTTGAACACATTTGGTTCTGGCTGTTAATTTGTTAATTTACTAATTAATATTAAATTAACACTTCTAATACTCTTATTTATTTTCCTTCCCCCTTTCCTTTGCCTTTTCTTTCCATCTATAAATGATGACGATTTCAGTTAAAGTTACTGGCAGCTGTACTGATATCAGAAATTTTAACTATTCATTTTGCTATACTAAATGATTGTACTGTACAATACAAAATGGTTTTTACATTCAAGGGCAAAATTAAGTTATTATAGATAAATTTTTATTTTACTTAAATTTTTTTATTATGCAATAGATTCGGAATGACCCTGATAAAACTTTTGCTGATATTATCATACCAATTGAAATTTGAATATGCATTACAATCATGAGGTTATAAACACCTTATATATGGAATCTAGTAAAATATTTACAGTGACCAAATTAAAGTTTTCGATTAGAAATCAATACGGCTCAGCCCACCTATAATAAATACTCGAAAATAGCTTTGTAAATACATAGAATTGCAAGATAATTTAGGAAGCTATTTAGAAGTTTATTTAAGAAATTTACTTATTCCATCAAATTTAAAAGTAAACTTAAATCAAATAAAATTTAAAGAATTGTAATTTTTACTCAAATGTTATTGAATTTCTACTTAAATTATTTTTCTACCATTGCAACAATCCAACTCCAAAAACAATTTATTCATAAATTCACTCTAAATTTTGTCATTTCTT